GCTTGTGTCTTCTTCAGGGGAGAATTTGCAGGAGAAACATTCTCCTCTGCTGAAACCCACCCTGGTGAGACACCCAGCCTCCTGCAGGGGCCTGAACGGGACCAGACCCGTCCCCCCCATTCCCCGCCTCGCCAGCCCACTGCCCGATAAGATTGAATTGAACCTGACGAAGCGGAGGAGTGACGAGTGTGAGGACACGTGGCTGAACGAAGTGGATAGGAAGCTTGCAGCTGATCTTTCTGAGCTAAGTGTTGATGGCGAGGAAGTGGACCAAGAAGAGGTTGGTTTAAATATGACAGCCCACTTTTAATAGTTGATCAGGGGTTTGAGTGTGCCAGTCAACCCATGGCTTAAAACATATGTGAAATATTCGATATCTTTCTTCTGAGACTTGTCAAACAGACTTACTCTAGTATTTCCCTCTGCTGGTCCATGGAATCCTCTGCAGCCAGTATAGCTGTAAATCACAGAATCCCAGACTGGTTTGGGTTGGAAGGAACCTTAAAGCTCATCCAGTTCCAACCCCCCTGCCATCAGCAGGGACACCTTCCACTAGACCAGGTTGCTCAAAGCCTCATCCAACCTGGCCGAGAACACTTCCAGGGAGGAGCAGCCACAGCTTCTCTGCACAACCTGGGACACTGTCTCACCACTCTCACAGTGAAGAAGACCTCACATGGCTGTTTCTCAGTGTCCAGTGAGATCCTCCAGTGTATGGAGCCTGGGGATATGCCAGCCCCTGCCACTGTGCCCAGTATGTGCCAAAGGATCCTGTCACTCACTCTCACGTGTCTCTGATATTTGAGAAATACCAAATAGCTGCACCAGTCTAGGACATGGAAAAATATGGCAGGGGCATGCTGGATTGTTTCCTGAGGTGCTGTGGAGGCAGAGCTGTATCCCCAGTGTCCTCCTCAGTACAAATTGAGCCCATTGCGATGTTATTCACATGAGAAGCAGAGGTATTACCCCTGATTGGAGTTTGTGTGATCTTCCCCACAGGATCCCGTGCAACACGTCCGTGTTTCTGTCACAGTTCATAGAAATTCTTTGAATCTCAAATCCTGTCTTTAGTCCCTGTGGATCTGAGAACAGTTAGGTTTGCAGTTTTACTTGATCCGAAAGGTCTTTTCCAACCTAAAGGATTCTCTGATTCTAGGACTTAATTAATGCCTTTGCCTTACTGTCTTTGTCTTCCATCCTGTAGTCGCTACTGAAAGTGACTTGAGGTGCTAGTAGGGGAAGAATTTTTTTTACATCAACTATATTCAGTAAAAGAGGAGAAACTGCAGCAGAGCTGTAGTCATTGTAGATTTTCCTGCCCATTTGAGGAGGAGCTCTGCTTGCTAGGCACAGTTTTCAGGATTCACTTTGCAGGTTTTGCAGCTTTGTGCAGATCAGATGTGAAAAGCCCGAGGTACCAACTGTGTGTCCCAGCAGCTGTGAGACGCTTCCTTTGGTCTCCTAAAGAAGAGAAGAGCAGCTGGTGCATTTTTGTAGGAATCTGCTCTTGTGTTTTGCAAAACGAAGCTAGGATACGATGCTGTTGTGAATTTGCACTTACTTGTAGGATAATTATTCTTGTGAAGTAAAACAGTGAAAGGGGGATGATTGGAATGGTCAGTCACATTGCCCAATAGAGGCATGTGCACTGAACCTGCGTGAATTTAATTGAAAGCTTATGAAAACATACTTCCTTTTGCTTAAAAAAGCTTTTTCCCTAAGCAGTGAATAAAATCCTAAAATCTCTCATTTTGTTTCCAATCCTGTTTAGATGCAGAATTCACTCAGATCTCTACGGAACAGCGCAGCTAAGAAGAGGGCAAAGCTAAGCGGCAACTTCTCAGATCTTGAAAGTCCCGATTCTGCTCTTAAACTTGATGTGTCTGTGGATTCCTCCTGCCACGCTTCCTCCCCGAGCGTGGGGTCCTGCAGCGAAAGCGGAGTTTACAGCCAGGAGTCTCTGACTTCACCTCTGTCCACAGGCCCCCAGAGGAGGAGAATGACGTGAGTGGAACTCGTCTGTTAACGCTGCTGCTGTTAGTTAAATATTAAAGAGAGTGGAATCTGTAATGTGTTCTTATATAAGATTGCTTTGCTTAATAGCTTGATTTTTGTGTGTGAATTATTTTTCTATCTAAAAAGACATTGCTCTGTATAATAGCTGTTTGATTTATTATTGTTTTACATCATTCTAGCTTGTGCTGGCTTTTAGTTTGAAAGAGTTCCCTGGTGCAGCTGTAGTAGCGCAGTGCAGGGAGGCACTGCCAGTGGGAGTAAATATTTTATTAAGACTTTAGCCTGCCATAGAAGGTGTGTGAAGCATAGCCTAAACAAATGAGTAAGGAGGAGAATGAGTTAAGAGGAAGGATAAGGTTTGCTTATTATAGCCTGGAAACTGAAGAAGGAATGGGTTGGTTTTGTGGATAAGAGGAAGACAATGTAGATGTTTCTTATTACTGTGAATCACGGACTGTTTCCATTTTATTACTGACAGACTATTGTTGATTTACAATGAGAGTTCTTCTAAAAAGAAATGGTGTGATGGCACATGCTACTCTGGTTATAAACAGCAATGACCCAGTTGGTTATGAGCAGTATAAGCTATTTTATTTTTTAATAAAATTAAAAAAAAATGTTTTTGAGGAATTTTGCAAATTTTGCAGTATAAATTCTCATTTTCAGCTCTTGGAGCCTGTAACAAAGCTGCTTGCAGCTCTGATCTGAAGAGACCTTTTATTTTTGTGTGCATGAAATGTGTCCTTATATAACTGGCATACAACTGTATTAATAGAATAGGAAGCAAGAGAGGGAATATACCAAGGAAAGGTTTCTGAGACTGAATGATTCAGAAACAGAGGGTTTTCACAGCTGTGAAGTCTCATAACTCATTTTTAAGTATGTATCTTTCCTATATGCATTACTGCTGAATCACAGTTTTAAAAACAATCTTTAAAATAACACATTAAAATGCTAGGATACCTAAAAAGTGAAAACTATAAACATCTGTGTATGTTTTTCCAGGCCAGGTTTTGGCTAGGACACATTTTATACCACATGCCATTTCCATTGCTCAGTGACACACAAGCTTAATGTTTTACAGGATTCACAGATACGGGAATTATGAACTAGCAAGGAAGAGAGGGACATCTGGCAGGAAGACTGAATTTGTAGAAGTGACAAAATATATTCCAGAGGACATTGACAGGCTTGGAATGTTTATAAAACTTTCAGAGGGTTTGGTTCAGGTGTTAGTTTTCGAGCGCTGGAAATCAGCGTTGTCTGTTCACAAAGTCTGTGTGGATGGGCAACAAGAATGTAGGCATTTTCTGTGTGTTTGCTTTTAGAAGGATCAGTTTATCCACTGATAAACTACCATGAGAAGTGGGAGCTTGATACTGCTATTAGTGAAGTTTCTGAAGCGTGGGCATTCCTCAGGATCCTAAAAGCAAGTCCTCTCCTGTGTGCATGTCAGGCCCAGCCGAGCGCGGAGCCGCGGCTCTTT